CAGAACAGAGAACATGCTATTAGCGACCGAAATGGATTACTGGAGGAGATCTGCTGGAAAATCAAAAAGAGAACAAATAACCAACAACAGAGTAAGGGAGATTATGGGAGCAGAACACACAATTGTGGACGACATAAGAACAAAACAACTCATATGGTTTGGTCATGTGCAACGAATGCCCGATCACAAAATACCAAAACAAATTTTACTGCGGACACCTCGAGGCAGAAATAAAAGAGGAAGGCCGCGACGAAGCTGGAGGGAGAGTGTGGATAAAGAACTAGAAAATAGAGAAATACCTGATGATCTCTGGCTAAATAGAAAAGAGTGGAGGTTAGGTGTCGGAAAACGTCGTAGAACGTTCTGAACCGACTTAATCAATAATCAATAAGATGAAATGTTGACCTAATAACACTTTGACGTTTAGTCTATTACTTCAGTAGACGCTTTTTTCCAAAGCTTACCATGACGCGTCGTTTTTTGTTCACTGTCATTAGCATCTTTATTATTTGATATTAATACATCTGGTATTAAGATATTCTGGTATATTATCGATATTAGAATAAATTAGTCGTTTCTATTTTATATTTTATCAAAATGGGTCATAATCAAGACGGCTACTGATACCGAGTTATAAAAATAAGGTACATAGTTAAGGGCTTATTTTTTCGTATCTATTATATTTTTGCTAATATCTTTGGTTTAAAAAAAATATCAAGATGATATTTTTTAAGCTTTTATTCCTCTTTAATACTAGCTAAAATTACAAATACTATTGTATTAAAAAAAAACGCGCAATGTTTGTTAAATTGTAAAACAGCGTCCCTAGCGTCTACTGTCAAATGTATACAGGGTGGTCCGAACTGTCTTCCGGAAACTTCGGCAGCATATTCTGCAGATAAAAATAAGTAAAAAAGTTCGTATAAATATATGTCCTAAAATGCTTAGTTTCGGAGATACAGGGTGTAGAAATTTCATTTTTATTTCTATTTTTTCCAAATAATTTCGTCAATATTTGGATGAAAATTGGTGTCTGGGAGTTTTGAAAGACATGAAAAATTTAATTTTCATGTCAATATGACTGCTATATTTGCAGGAGGCGCCACCTACATGTATTTTAACTGTTTTAAAGAGTAATAACTTTTCGTCCGTACCTGTATAAAACTACTGAGTGAAAAAATATACATTTCTGTGACTTTTTATGTAAAAAATGTCTCTTGGAAAAAATATGATATAATACATGTCATTACTGACAAAAAAATAAACACGTTGAGCAGATAGTTATTTGACTGAAATAATAAATTTGAGAAATTATCATCTTTTATTAATCTTATTTTTTTCTGCGAAAAAAATATGATAAAATAGTTTCTGTTCAACTTTTGGTACAAAAACATTTCAAATTTATTATTTCAGTCTAATAACTATTTGGTCGACATGTTTAATTTATGTCAATGATGACAGGTATTGATAATTCCGATTTCAAATATCTCAAGGATCATTACTCATAGCGAATTTTACCAAGGGACCTTTTTTACGTAAAAAATGTTGTAAATGTATATTTTTTTACTCACTAGTTTTATACAGGTAAGGACGAAAAGTTATTAATCTTTAAAGCAGTTAAAATACATGTAGGTTGCGCCCCTTACAAATAGGAGTCATATTGACATCAAAGTCAAATTTCTCGTGTCAAAGAACTCCCAGACACCAATTTTCATCCAAATATTGAAGTTACTTCAGAAATTATTTGGAAAAAAATCGAAATAAAAATCAAACTTCTACACCCTGTATCTCCGAAACTCAGCATTTCAGGACATACATTTATACGACCTTTTTTACTTAATTTTATATGCAGCATATGCAATATGAGAAGTTTCCGGAATACAGTTCGGACCACCCTGTATAGCGTAAGGAACGCCCTTTTAAACCATCCCTAGTTTGATGGATTCCGATTACGCAGTCCAGAGTTATTATTTACATTAAAACAGATCTAACCTTCCCTCACCACGTTATTTTAAGAAATAGGGTAAAATGGTAACCAACAAATTCTTATTTGTCATAGCAGTAGCGCAGTCTAGCAGAGGAAAATAATTTCCAACAATTTTTCATGGCCACATTAAGGTTGATTCTCACTATACCTTCCGTATCAGCTACCTTCCGTTTGCCTTCCGTTTACATAAAATATTATATCATGTAAATGAATAGGAAAATGCACTCTATCCATTTCTCTTTCGTTCCATATCCTTTTCTTCCATACATTATTTTTGGTGGACGGACTGAAACATCGGAAAAGCGTTGTCAAATTCTTACATTTGTACCAGCTCTGTGAAGATTCTGCTGATATTTATTTATTTTTTCACCTCTTAATTAAATCTATTACCTTTTCCAGAAGATACAAATTTTTAAAATAAAACTTTTTCGTAATGATATAAATTGTACAATAAACAATATGGAACGGAATACGGAACGGAAGCTTACGTACAGCGTCAATACAATCAAAAATACGGAACGGATATGGAATGGAAACGGAAGTTACAGTGAGAATCAACCTTTAGTCATAAATATTTGTTTTTCGCAGGCTCTACTGCTAATACTTTACGAGATACAGCCGAGAGCTATTTTTAGTAGAACATCCGGTACAATAGAAAAATTATGGGGGATGAAAATTTAGTTATTAAAATTCTTTAATACCTTTTTATGAGTCTTTGTTAATAGTTTATCTATATCTTCAATACTGAGAATCAAAAAGATTCCCAGTAATTCATGATTCAAATTTTCTTCTCTATATATTATAATAAAACAGGCTCAAATGCCACCATCTAACCATCTAACATTAAATTCCATTTATATCTGAAGAGGTCGCATTTCTTCTGAAGGCCGGCCTGACTCACGTTCCTGATTCTTTTTTGATTTATCAAATCCGCGAGACATTTCACCGGCTACGTGCGTTCCAACATCTTCAAATATTGTGACAAGCGATGACAGACGGTAATCAATAATACTGTAGCCTGTACATGACTGGTTTTTTTACAGGGATCAGAGTAATAAAAACAGATATTTTTTATATTTATATTTTTAGTGAAATAGGTAGCTTTAAAATTGCAATAGTTTACAAACTGTTTTACAATAAAACATTAATTAACACTTTCTTTTATTGTGTAAAATATACATTACTTTTTTTATTCTAGATGTAATCACTACCTTTATTAAACTTACTTTTATTAAGCTCTTCCAAACGGCCTTGCAACGACTAGGGCCCCAAATCAGTCGTTCAACTTAAAACTATAGTTGTAATAATTAAAATATCCGCTTTTACTAAAACTACATAAAAAGCTCTTTCATTTAAACGAAAAATTAAATGCTTAACATATTATAAATTTCTTGAAAAAACTCAACGAACATTTTTTGAACACAATCGTATAACTAAGAATATATTAATGGAAATTATTTAGAAATTAAATTAATTAGTTGCCAATTAACAAATAAGTTTGCCAATGCGTTTTAGAATGAAATTACAACAAAAAAAATTATCTGTAATGTCCTTCTTATGGGTTTGTTCTTTGTAAGGCCAAAATGTTTTTTTAGCTAAAAAGTTGAATAACCTTTATAAATAATCTACGATGTACTTAAACAGCCGTTAAACGGTAGCCTACTAAAATGCCGTTAATAGATATTGTGACGTCGTTCATGTCGGCGGAAAGTAATGCCTAGCCTTAAGCATTCTGCAAGAGCACCTGTGGGTCAGTGGCTGAGGCTATCGCTTCGTAAGCGAATGATCCGTGGTTCAAATCTCCATGCCGACCAAGACTTTTTATATTTTTTTGCTTTATAGCGGTGATCTTATTGCATTGGTTTCACTCTTTTTAGTTGGATTGGTTTAGTTATTTGGCGGGTTGGTTAGCGTGGTTATTTGGAGGGTGTTAATTCATTGATTAGTTGGTTATTTGGTGGGGTTGGTTGATTTTTACTAATTTATATTTGTTTTTTTATATTTTTTATCAGTGTCGAGGTTAGTTGCGTTGGTTAAGTTGGTGGGGTGGATAGCGTTGGTTAGTCCTTATAAAATTCCTATATTTCATAAAGCCGTCAAGTGCGTCACATTAACGACGTCATACCTATTAACGGCATTTTAGTAAGCTACCGTTTAACGGCAGTTTAAGTACAGCCAATAATCTATACTAATAAATAATAAAATCCTTAAGTGACTGACTCACCTGATTAATCACGATCCTGCTCAAACCACTCAACGTCAGAAGCTCAATTTTGGCATACAGGATGATTCTAGGGTGTAGAGGTTCGATAAGAATGGATTTTTCGAAATTCCAGTTCCAAGAGGGTGAAAACGCCCCCCAAATATTACAATATTTGTTATTTAAAAAACGGTTAGTCTTTCGGGAAAACAACTTGGACACGCACAATTTACATTGTTTTTTACATATTTTGAATTTTTTAAGAAATCATACAGGCTGCTCCAAAAGTTGGGTGAATTGATTAACCACGATTCTGCTGAAACTGCTTGATAAAAAGCAAAAAGTAAAAATTTTTGGCAAAAAATTTTTTTAAGTTTGAAAGTCAAATTCCAACAAGATGAAACTACCTCTCAAATATTACCAAGTTCATATAATAATATCGGCCATATTGTTTTTTTCTCATGCTGACATAAATATGAGAAAAATTTATCCAGTTTGTATGTTAATGGAAATTTTTGCTTTGCTTTATCATCACCATTACAAATGATTAATTCGACGCGAACGAAGTCGCGGGTACATAGTTGTTTAATAAAAACATTATTATGGAAAGACTTCTTACATTCTACCGAGTTAAAAATAAGACAGATACTACTCATATTACAACAAATTACTCTTCATAAATATGTTAATAAATCTAACTCAAAAACCAAAAAAATATATTTCAGTTTGAAATCGTTTCGTTTTTCTGATCTGTTTACTGAGAATGTGATAAATAAGGCGATACCTTTGGTTTTTTATCGCCAAGTTCATCTAACATCATTAATCTTTTTGAAGTAACCACTAAATGTTATTGTTCTCGTTCATTGTTTTTTGCGAGCTGGTCATAGTAATCATCTCCAATGGATCTTTTGGCCGAAATGAAAAATGCAGACAGTATTCTATTAAATTTTATTTTTTTTTTGATGCAAGCAGTAAAAGACACTTGATATTATAGCACTATAGCACAGAAATATTCTCCAAATAAATAACAGGAATTCTTGTGGAAGTTTTAAAAATGTAGCATTTTTTACTGTATTGTACATTTTTGAATGTCTAATTTTTATTATTCATAGTTATTTTTTATACAAGACGATAAAATGGTATTTTATCGTCGTGTATAAAACAATATTTTTTTCCATAGCGAGTTACGTTTTAAAAAATATTCAGACATTATTATTTCAAGGAATTTATTACGAGTAGAAAAAATATTGTGCTGGGTTGGCGTTGGTTTCTATGTAATTTGACAAATAAATAAAGCTGTCTCTTTAGTTGTCAGTTTTGAGTCAATATTTTTTAATTCTCTTTCGTGTCGATTGCTGATTGAATTGGGCGACAAATGGCTTTCAAAACGAAATAAGTAAATTACCAACAGATATTCAGGCTGAGGCGACAAACGCTATATCCAAACTACTTCAAATGTCCGAATAACTTATGAAAAGAATACAACAATTTTTAAAAATGGAAGCAATTAAAAAACGTCAGAGAAGAAATATAGTTTTTAACCTATCCTCGCTGTTAAAGTATCATTTAATGTACCCTTGCGGTTAAAGTACTATTTTATCTACTATTTTTGATAGTTATAAGGCAATTTTAACAGTTGCTATGGAGAAAAAATATATTATTATAGTCTCAATGTTTAAATTCTTTATTGTAAGAATCTAAAAATCTATTTACTTTGTTCTGAAAATATTAATAATTATTTTTTAAAAATCTGCTTTTCAGGAGGATTTTGTGGACGTCACTTTGGCGTGCGATGGCTGTTCCTTCACTGCTCACAAGGTGGTGCTGTCGGCGTGCAGTCCTACCTGCACCAGACACTCAAGGCCAACCCTTGCCAGCATCCCATCGTTATCCTTAGGGATGTTCAAAAGAAAGACATGGAGAGTTTATTAAGGTAAATAAAAAGAAGTTTTGGATTTCAAGAGTTCTTAAAATCTATGGAGTGGTTATAATGAGCATAAGATTATTTTGATCGCTCTATATACTTTAATAATGTAGTAGTATTTACTTAAGTTAGACTAGATTATATTTCTTGATTTGGCTATTGGCCTATTTGACTGTTACTTTTACATAAATTGTATCGCCGTATAGAGAGTGAAAATAAAAAAATTACGGGCAAGCTGATTTTTTCAGAGTTTGTCAGCGACTGTCTTCTGAGTGTAAAATTAACAAAATCGAAAATTTTCCCCTTGCGGTTTTTGAGCAATAGGGGTGGTTTTTTTAAAACTGTACTACAACAATATAATTAAGCGCAAATTGTACATAAGAACATTCTCTATAAGTTCGCCTAATTATTTTTTTTATAAGTTTATTATTTCCGGACTTGGCCGCCGTTTTAGGTGGTTTTCAAAAAGTTTGTTTTACAGCAAATTGACCCGTATGAAAGTTGTTCATAATAAATGGACAAGCAACTTTTCCTCATGCATTTTTTTAGATTGATTATTTTTGGAGATAGCGTCCAGTTCATGAAAAAATTAGGGTAGTTTTCAATGTTACTCTTTTTTCAGCAAATTCACCCTAGGAAACTTGTTCAAAATAAGAGTACATATACCTTTGCCTTATGAACTTTTTTTGTAACTTGGCTATTTTTGAATATAGCGCCCAGATCATGAACAAGTGGTGGTAGCTTTAAATACCTTTTTTTTTCAAGAAATTCATAAGTGCTATTGGAAAATGGATTCGTGTTTTATTTGCAAGAAATTATTGAATGTTGCTGAAATTGTGGAAGTTCAGAGAAAAGGACTGGTAACTCTTCTAAATGCAAGTGTGGGTAGGGGCTACAAAGACAAAAAAAATGAAAAAATAAAAATTATGAAACTACCCCAATTTGTTCATGAACTGGACCACCCCTAAGAGCTCATGAAACGGCCGCTAAGTCCGGAAATAATAAACTTATAAAAAAAATCATTAGGCGAACTTATAATGTTCTTATGTACAATTTGCTCTAATTATTTTGTTGTAGAAAAGTTTTAAAAAAAGTTTAAAAAAAACACCCCTATTGCTCAAAAACCGCAAGGGGAAAATTTCCGACTTTGTTTATTTTACACTAAGAAGACAGTCGCTGACAAACTGAAAAAATCAGCTTGCCCGTAATTTTTTTTTCAAATGACAATTTTATTGGATTAGATAGGTTTCCTGTGAAAGCTCTACTTTTCCATTCAAGCTCCTATGTCGTCTGACGTTCCTGAGCTGTGTCTACCTGAGCTACCTTCTATATGGTTATATAATTATAATAAAAACTAAGACATTTTATTAAATAACTGATATTCGACAAGCAATTATTATTATATCTTATATCTCTTGAAAAACATTATGTCAAAAAGTTTCACGTTCTGCATGCAAATATACACTAATACACTGAAATTTTCTATACCTATTATCGCTACTCTAAATGCTAATGAATGCAAAGATTAAATCTATCGGGTGACAAGTGTAATGTCATTCATTCTCTTTCTCAACGTAGTGATCTTTCTCTTTAAACAGACTATGATGTAAAAAAATTGAATTCAATCATAACAGTACCTTGTTCAATCTAGAGTGCCACGACAATAAATATAACGACGATTTTACTCGAAATACCATGCAGGTATTTGGTTGTAGTAAAAATATGCTTTTTCTAAATATGCTAATAAAACACCATCGTTCCATTTGAAAAAATTGAGTTAAAAAAGTTTGATTTTATTTAAAAATACGATTTGGGCATCTTTTAACTGGCCAGGGAAAGACCGCGACTTAATCACCGCGACCTTACAGATCTATTGTGTGTTCCCCTTTCTTGAGTTATTTAACGAGTTATAACTCATTAGTGTTGCACAAGACAAGAATTCTTGTCTTGAAAATCAATTTCTTGTCTTGTCTTGAAATTCAAGACAAGAAATTTTCAAAGTCTTGTCTTGCAGATTTCTTGAATGGCAAAGTCTTGTCTTGCAAGACTCTTGAAATTTATTGTTTTGAAAAATTTTACATTCTAACAAAAAGGTAATAATATTTCTATATGTTATTTCATAGAAAGCGTCGTATACAAAATGTAATACGGAAAAATGAACAACAACGATGCTAATTTTAGCAAAAAAAATCTTAACGGACCGCAAACGAAGTATGCCAACTCGCCCGTTTGACGAAACAGGAGCCATTACCAAATAAAAGCTGAATAAGAATAAGTAAGGTTAAGCTGAATAAGAATAAGTAAGGTTATTTTACTTCATTCTGAACTCTAAAACACTGGCTATGATAGAAAAAAAAATAACACTGGTCAATATTAATGCCAGGTTTATATAACATTTGCATATGTCTTAATCATAATCAGTCATAATCATCTTCATAATCACAACGCAATTTTAATGTGCGTTTATAGAACATTTTCATAATCATAATTGCAAGAGTCTTGGTACCAGTGAAGTTGGGTAACATAATTAAAGGCTAAGTTCATGGTAGATGTCAACAGGTTTATAAGAAGTGGATAGTTTAACTTTTATGATTATGACTATGATTGTGATTACGACTATGTAAATGTTGGTTGCACAACCCGGCATAACTTGCGCAAGGACCTAATTATCACTTAAAAAAATTTATTATTTCTAACTTTCAAGAAATCTTGCAAGACTCTTGAAATTTCTTGCATATTAAAGTCTTGTCTTGTCTTGAAATTCAAGACAAGAAATACATACAAAAGTCTTGTCTTGAATTTCTTGCAAGAGTCTTGGTCTTGCACGACTTCTTCAAGACTCCTGTGCAACACTATAACTCATCATACAGTCTCAGGGCTTTAACAAAAGCCAGTATCTGAGACGGTTCCACAGAGGCCAGCTCTACATCCTCGACATCAGCCGTACCAAAGTTCATGGCACGAACGGTCCTTGTCTCGGCGCACTCAGTGATAAGGTGTTCTGGTGTTTCCCCATTTTCCCCGCAGAATCTGCATTCGCCGTTGTTTCTCAGCTTCAGCCTACTGAGGTATTCGTTGAGAGTATTCTGTAGAAACCCCGTGACAATCCGAAGATTGTTTTTACTTAAATCAAGGAATACCTTTGATTTTTCTCGGTCGTAAGTTCTGAGGAATTTTTTCGAGTGTCTTAGACTGTTGGAGGACACCCATTCCAAGTTACGGATGGAGTCTTCCAGATTCTTCAGTTCCGCTATCAGTTGGTTCCCGTTTGGAAAACAGAACTGTTCTGGTCCAGTTAGAGGAGTGTTCGCTCCTTTTCTAGCTAGATCATTTGCTTTTTCATTGCCTTCTATTTCTTGGTGAGCAGGCACTCAGAGTAGGAAGACTTTATTTTCTTTGCCTAATTTGTTGAGCTTCTCTAGGCATTCTTTGACCAACTTCGAATCGATAGTTACTGAGTTGATCGCATTTAGTGCTGCTTGACTATCGGATAAGATGGTTATTTCCTGTTTTTGATACTTCCTATCTAAGATAAATTGTACGCATCTTTCGATAGCGTAGATTTTTGCCTGAAGGATACCTGGGTAGGTGCCCATTGGTTCGGAGTATTTAGTTTTTTTTAAATACTCCTATCCCTGTCCCTGCTTTGGTTTTGGAAGGATCAGTATACCACGTTATGGTATGGTCTTTTACTCCTTTATTAAACATTTGTAGTTTTAACAGAGCCATGACACTCTAGGTTTAAAATGCTACTTTTTTATTGTTAATTTTAAAAATTTATTTATTACAAGAATTAATAAATTTACCATTTAAAAATTACAAGAAAAAAAACACATACTAACGAATAAAGAGAGTATTTTTACTAATTATCTTGCCTACTTATAAAACCAAATCGTAGATTCATTTTTATTCAAAATTTTGCCATTTTTTTGTTTTAATAGCCCATAAACTACAATCATACGACCATAACCTCGTTTCCACTCGTCTAGAAGTATAAATTAAATTAGCAACAAATTCATATATCATCGGCAAATCGCATAGATAAAAGTAGAAAGTCGAATTCGTCCATTTTAAATGCTTCATTTCAATATTAAAGTAGTTTAACATTAAAAGTACGGTTTAATCGCTTATTAATTAGTTGAAATACAGTTATAAAAAATATATTATAATGTTGAAAATTAAAATTCGAAAAAAATAAAATTCAACATTTCATATTAAGACAGCCATTACATTGGATGCGAATTCGTACGGAGATTTGGCCCTCTTTTATTTTAAATGGAACACTCAGTATATTATTCCTATATTCAGTTGAGTCTCTTCAAAATACCTATTAAGGATGTTTACCCCTCTGACAAAGATTTTCCTAAATATTTTCATTTTTATGATTTGTCAGTAGATCTTTATTATTTGAAAAAATCTAGGTGGCTCTGATATACCTAACGTTGATTTAAGAAAAATCAAAGGATGCAGATGTAAAATACTCAACGTTAATAAAGAGGTACAAGTTTGCAACATATTTTAATTATTACAGAATCACAATCCCATATGTAAACTTATAATTATATAGCAAAAATTAATTAGATGATATCAAATGCTCAAAATACTTCCCCTCTTGTTCACTGTATAAAATAATTCTTTTTTCAAAAGATCTTTTCACATTAAGAGGCATTTGTTGAGTTATACTTCCAAAAGCATGTTAAAGCTACTATATGTTAAAGCTGATATTCTCAAAACTTTTCTAGAACCACCTATCGCCAACGGTACTAGTTATTTCTGTATTTGTTTTTAATTTGTTCTTTCAATAATCCACGCCGCCTATTCTACTCGAAAATGTGTATTTTTGGGTCATCTAGTAGACCCGTTCTGTGACGTCTATATATCCATGTACTTACACCAGTGGCGGTGATTCTTGAAGTACATAATCGAATTCATTCCCATTATTCATGTATAGTTTTAATCTGTTTCTATGAAATATTATTTTGTTATTATTATACTTGTTAATAGTTTTT